ACGGTCTGCTAATTACGCCGTATATATACACAGAACATACCCCCTACGGGGATATTTTGTGATTCTATATATTGTCTGTAACATATGTTTAAAAATCCGTACGTACCGATTAGAAAGTGATGCTGTCATGTTCAGCACTTAATAGGTTATGAAGCGTGTTTGTTGACAAACATCGTCTAAAATTACTGTGACTGTTTATTACGGTTATCCATACTTGGAAACAATAGTTTACAAGTGGTTGATGCAGAGAAAACGAAACAATCAGCTTTTTACTTATTGAATTCAACTAACGAATTTATACCTAATTAAGCAATTGCAAGTTTAATATTTCTTAAAAACAATGCCTCCAGCCGCAGCAAGAGATATTTTTATTATTCTCGTTGATCTAAAATCCAGTCCTCGAGATGATGTTCTACACACACTTTCAACTGTTATACTTTACAAGCAGCTTTCTGCCTCGAAAAGCGAATACAACCTTTACTTGGTAAATGCTGCTGATTCGTCAAATAAATTAAAATACACTGGTATATACAAATGGGAAATCCCAGATGCAATTGAAGACTTATGCCAAGAGATATCTTCTATTGAAACTGGACAGTCAGACTGGCTAGAAGCCTTAGCACTGGCTGTTGATGACCTTAGCGAAAAGTTTGAGAAACCAGGTAGTTTTCAAATTAATTATTTTTATGCAAATAGTCATAGTTTTTTACAGGCGTAATCACGCTGCAAGTATTGTTTATCACTGATTTATGCTCATTTGAGAGGCCTGACAATGGAAAACTTATGGAAAAGCTGATCAATGATTGTAAACAAATGGATATTTTTCTGTACGTAATAGGGCTACCTATAGAGCCCCCTAAAACAATATTCAGTCATAAGGATGTATCAGAATGGATGGCTAAGTTGCAAATAGACAAAGATCAATCTAACTTAAAAATAATGAAAAAGATTGTTAACAAAACTCCACATTCAGTTATGTGTAATTTTGAAGTTGGGTTCCATCTGTTCCACTCCTACAAGTATTTCAAAGGTAAGTTTGAAACAAAATCAACTTAGAAGTGATGAATCATGCATCTGCATCGGCATTTTTTAATTTAAGCTATATTGAAAATTACTATTTTCAGTAGTTGAAAATAAACTTCTGGTACTGTGATCAGTCGCTACATAAGCGACTAACTATGGACAATTTTCATTACGTGTATTCGATATTTCCAGTACTGTTCAGATTTTTTACTACATATATTATTGTCAATCGATGCCTTAGGTATGCAACCTTGGAAAGTACCACTTACGTGTGGCTCCAAATTAAATCTACCAGTATCAACTATCAGAGTCTCTAAAAGAGATCCACCCTTCAGTCTTAAGAATTTATCAGCCAAAGTAGACCTTAAATGGTACGTATATTATTATGGTTGACAGTAAGTAAAACAGTTAATTCCCGGACAAAACTAACTTTACTACTAACTAACTACTACTTAACTTTTCTCATGTTAAAAGAAATTATTTAAAAAATCAGAGACTTGGATTTTCCTGGCAAAGCTTTATAAGAAATGTTTTTCTTTCTCCCTGTTTAATTTATTGTCGTACTCATGCTACATACTTCGCGTTTTTATTTAAAATTTCACAAATGTATGTACAATATATGTACTTACTTACTTAAGTATGTATTTATAGAAATAATTCAAAGAGTCAGGTTTCTCTTTCTACCAGTTTTCAGCTTACTTCACTGCATATTTAAAAAAATAACTTAACGTTGTAAGCTTTTATTAATTTAAAAATCCACAATTTGTAAAAATGTTGTTGCTAAAATACTCCTTTGCTAATCAGTTATCAAGTTAGCACCAACAAACTTTTTGCAGGGCTTTTGAGGACGAACAGGATAAAATAATCGACAGTGTTGATACTGTTAGCGGCTTAATAAAGCATGGAAAGTTTATAAAAATTGAAAGCGATGGCAGGTTTAAAATAGTAGGTCCCCGAAGTTTTCAAGTGCTAGGATTTACTAAAGCCGTAAATGTACCAGAGGTATTTGCTTATGAGCCTAATTTTACTCTCCACGCTCATTAGGTGTATTATAGTATTTTCTTCAATCTGATGGATCATATTTGGTGTTACCCGACTGTGAACAGCCAGAGGAATATTTGAAGTTTTTCAATGCGTTAATTGAAGAGCTAGCCGAATCTAAAGTGTATATAATCGCTCGGAGGGTTTATAACGCAGACTGTAATCCAAAATTTTCAGCGCTAATTCCTTGGTGAGCATTATTTGGTTGAAGTAAATTCATTTCAAATTTTAACTTTTAAATCCGTAGGAACGAATTTAATCTAAAGGGCTTTATATTATGTCAATTACCATATGCCGATGATGTAGTGAACATATACGTCGAGGAAGATGTAGATTTAGCCCCTGAGCTCAATCCAGATGAAAAATGTTTTGAATTCTTAGACAAAATCAATGTGGGGAGTGACAAATGTAAACTTCAAGTCCCATTGAGCCCGACAATGATGGTCTACTCAAATGCCATCAACATCATTGCAAAAGTAGAAGAGAAATTAATGCACAGTAATAAGTTTTTTACATACTTTTATTGATTTACTAAGAGCGGATTATTTCTAAGAAAAACAAACACAACGAATTGTTTTAGGTAATAGATGCACAGCGGCTGAATCGTACACAAGTGAGTTGCCCTTTCAAGACGATTTTCAAAATAATTGGCCACAAAGGAATGTTGATGATCCCAAGAAAGAAAAAGTTGGAAAGGCTGATTTCGAAGATGTTGATGATTTTAATTTTGATTAGTTCAAATCAAAATGTATTAGATGTTTTTACATGCTTTCATTTCCTTTAATATATTATGCTTAATTTATACATTTTTAGATTCGAAAAATTTGAACTGCATATGAACAATATCGTTCCAGTTTATAAATAAAACTTCCATCGAGAATGAGGGTTGAATTCAATTGTAAACATACCTGTATTACATTTTCTACATATAAACTTGTAAATCTCTAATTATTCGGGTATCATTCTCTAGCAACTGGCCTTTTTCTAGGTTTTTGGACCTTTTTCCCGTCCTTTTCCTTAGGAACAACTTGTGATGTGTTCGCGGTCAAAAAGTTACTAACAACATCTGACACTTGGGGCATTTCATACTTAGTCATTTTCTGTATTTGTTCCAAGTCTTTTTTGGTGTCTGGGTCATTCATCAGCCTTGGCAGAATCATTATGAGAAGGACTGGGAATAGCATCATCATGACCATGGGATTGAACAGAAAATCTGTAATTCGCCATTGTTCTCGAGTTTGGAAGTACCTGGGGTAAATTACGGATTGGTAGTTTATCAATACGAATAGTTACAGGTAGTAATTGTACCTTGTTTTTCCCAAAGCCTTCAGTTTTAGGGGATATGGCACTTGAATGACCAGAGATGTTTGAATATTATTAAGTTTTCTAGCTCTAAATTTGCCTCTAGATGTAATTTCAACTCTTACAGGCTCAAATGTATACTGTGGATGTAAAACTTCTACTATATAAGAACCAGAGGGTATGTTATGAACAAAAAACCCACCATCTTTCTTCACAAACCCTATGATACAAATCCAAGGTATGTTTTATGTTTATTGCTATTATTTTAGGACAAAAACGTATATTACCTATAAATTCGCCCCCATTTACATGTATTCGGGTGAGTGCCCACCAGTTTGTATCTTCATTTTCACGATCTTTGATTTCGAATGGTGGGAAGACCCTGCCTTCAATTAAGTAGCGACCAAATCCACCTTCATCTTCCAGGCTTGTTTCGGCATTAACAGCTAGGGCTATTGTTAAAAATACAATGATTTTTAACATTTTATTTACTTTCAGAATATGTCAAGAAAACTATGAATGACCTGTGTGCACAGACTACATACTATTTTGCCTGTGTGAATGACTATTTACTGAACTGGGTTATGTATAAAAACTAGGAAAGTCTTCTTTTTCATTTTGCATGGAATTAGTAAAACATTGAGCTACTTATTATTCTTGGATTTACATTCTTGTCGTCGTTTATTTCTTCGATTGTGGATTTTTCTCTAAATAAAATTATTTTCACTTTCCTTAAAATAATGCAATGACCTTTGTCATTTTAATGTCACTTATTTGATATATTTCATATGATTCGTAAACATGACGGGTGGAAAAATGCGAAACGTCAGTTTTACTGATTTTTTCTCCAAAAACATTCAATAATACATTCAGATAGAAATCGTTTATTGAAAATATAAGGAATTTTTATAAACTTGTTCTTGCCAGTCTGCAATTGACTGCATTATCCAAAATAACCAAAACGCCACCGATGTAAATCGTAAGTATTTGTTATTTTTGTTGTGTTTATTTTTCCACAAAAAGAAAAACGTGTTTTTCTTGTTCCTTATAAATTTGTAATGTGCAATTCATCAGTGGAGCTAGTTCTGGCCTCTTGTACGTCTAGATTTTTGCTAGACATATATATTTAGGTTGTTCCTATAGGTTGATTTGAGAAATATCATGCTTACTCGTTGCGTATATTGCACTTGCTTGTTTGGTATCATTTAGTAGATTAAACTTTTTTGTACATAACTTTCAAGCATTTTCAGATAAACACCAAAGTGCTCTAATAAATCATTGTCATGTGCTTTCAGTGGAATTTCTTCAATTTATTTGATAATTTTTTATTTACAATACCATACACTAAACATACATTACAACTACAGGACTCATTAGAATTTAGATAATAAATATTACATAAGTTTCATGGGCGTGTATTAGTATATTATTCACATAAGTAATGATATGCAAATTGCTTCAATGTTTCAAAATTTCCAAAAATCATTACAATGCTCAAAGCAGTAAGGTTGTAAGCATCTAATTTGTCATTAGAAAATTATGTTATACAAATATGGTACGAACTGCCTGGTATTGGCCTTTGTTGGAAAATTTTTACGAATTTTTTCAAGGTTAATAAAACATGAATTATTTAGAAAATCCTGTTTTCAATTTCAGGCGTGTTATTTTGGACAAATTCATTTTAGTTCATATATTTTAATTCGCAGGTTACCTTATAAATGTAGTAGATTTACCTTAGCAACTATGTAAAATATGTGCTTTTCAACCAGAAATGCACCCTGTAATAAACCGCAGCTTGGAGTTCAGTAAACAATAAGTTTTGATGTTAGATAATATTCGAAGAAGAAAATGGTATAAGGCTGACGACTCAAAATTGAAACTTTCACTTATAAAACGGACTTGCCCTACAAAATTATTACTAAGAGTCAACTGAAGACAAGTCAAGAATCGCTAACTTGTTTAGTTTTTCCACTTATAGAACACACTTAGTCTTACGAAATACATATATACAAAGCTGCCCCTCCAACTTTTCTAGATATTCAGAAAATAAATGTTAGTTAGCCCTGCAAAAGCAACTTAACCAAAATTAATTAAGGGCACATTCAAAAACTTCTCAAAATGGAAACATTTTTCACATATTAAACACACTTTCTTCTACGAACCGCAACCGAATATGAATTTCCAGCTTCCCTCGTTTCTGAGAAAATAAATCCTGCATAAACAACAGCAAAATTAAATCGCAAGTCTCAAAGTCGAAACTTTCACCACTTATAAAAGTCCAACAAAGTCAGGTTTCTTTTTTCGTGAATAATTAAAGGCTCTATCATAGTTCGAACACATAGGAAATTGAAATCTCCCATGTGGGTCATTGTCAGAAAGCTTTCGAAAGGTTTGCCATTTACTCGGATAAAGCTTATTCAATTTTTAATAAGTTTTGGATTGATTTGATAACTGGCTGATGAGTCGATAATTTTGGTTCATGGCAAACTAACCGAAAACTTTTTGCTGCCGAAAACAATTTGAGCTGCTTCTTCAAGTAGTCTGGGCGCATTTCTTTTCTCATTAGCATCGGATCTAGTTTCTTGAAAGCAGCAAGTAGCTGGCGAATGTGCTGCAAAAATGGCTTACATTTTTGTCGTTATATCATTAAAAAAAGCTACAGCAGCTCTAAAAAACAATGATTCTGAACAGATCTGGGAACCATAAATGAGTATCATTTTTAGTTGGTACATAAATTTGGGTACTGCTACTCTCTTCTCCTATCAAAGAAACTGTTCTCAAGAATTCTCGCTACCGTTTTTTCATCTAAAATCCGATGCAATTTGTTTTCCTTGGAGACAAATATTTTTAGTCATACTTTAAAAAACTTAAATAAATTTAGCAATTAATTACGAGTCCTACGTCTCGCCTACCGCCGCTTTAAAACATGCTTTATACTCACATTTTAAGTACCTATTATCGATTAAACCTGGCAGAGTGTTGCAATTGTATGCACTGAAACTTAATTGTAAAATAAATGTTGAATCAGTAAATAAACAACATTTTCAATTGGAGGAATTTTTCAAAAGAGGAATTCTTTTGCCACGTATAGCCACATCTAAAGGGTGAAATTTTAAGTATTTTTATCAAGCTATAAGCTCATAAATCACTATTAATTTATATATCTATCAGTTTTGTAAGATTAATCCTTGATCGATTCGATTAATAAACAAATCTTCAGATATTTTCTTAAAATTTTATTAACTAAAACTAGCTGTAAGAGTGTTGCACAATATTATGCAGTGAAACTAATTTGAAAGTAAATTTTGAATCGTTTGGATACATAAAAATCTCTAAACTAAATGGWATWAAGSWATATCTATCAAWTTGCAACATTAATGTTCGATATACATAATGCATTAACAAGCAAAAGTTCAGATATTTGTTGAACTGCTAGGTGTTCTTATCTTACAAACATCAAGATATAATTGTATCGGATTACCATTAAGCTATACAKACATATTAGGCTATATACATATTTGAAATTCATTTATCTGAATATCTAGTGATCAGGATTTTCTGAGAAAATATATTTCTGGTTTTTCAAAAGATTTTATTCAAAAAGTC